ATCTTGGGCTTAACTTCTCGGTGACAGTGTCCTTATCTGGAAAATGAGGCCAATGACAGTAACTACCTCATAGGATTAAATGATATAAAGTACGTGAAGAACTTATATAATGTTTAATACATAGTAAGTACTTAATATATATGTTCATTCATTCATTTAACACATATTTATGGAGCACCTATCATGTGTCAGGCTAGAGGTATAGTACAGTAGACAAAACAGACAAAAATCCCTACCCTTTAGCATTAACATTTCGATGAGGAGAGATAAATAATATGTAAAAATAGTATGTCCAATTGTAATAAGGAAAATAAAGAAAAGTAAATTGTGAGAGAGGAACAAGGAAAAAAGGCAATCGTGATTTTAAATAAGATAGCCAGGGAAGGCCAAGTCTGAAGGAGGTGAGGGAGCCAGCTGTGAGGCTAACTAGGGGAGGAGAATTCCAGGTAGAAGAAACTGCAAACGAAAAACCAGAGATTTGTGTGACTAAAAGGGGAGAAGAGCAGTCTATAATCCTTTCTCCAAAATTCTGGAGCACAAAAACCTCTGAAGATTCGAGCCTTACTTATCCCCTGCCTTGTTTCACCTCCAGATCTGTGAACATGATCATTTCTCTCCCTGAACAGCATTCTGTTTTCCTTTTCTCTGCGTGAGGAGCCTCTGGAAGTCTCTGCCATGGCATCCTGTGCCTGCACCTTACTGCAGCAGCTCCACTACTCTCCAGCACTACTAAGGGCTTGACCCCCAAGGAGACAAGTATTATTACTCTTCTATTATTATCATCACTATTATTGCTTATTTTGGTCCAAAGAGAAAAAATTAAAAAGTTAAACTAAAGAACTGCCCTTGGAGAGTTGGGGGCAGTATATTAGGAGGACCCCAACATCTTCCTCAAACTTAGAATTACCACCTGAAAGCTAAAAATTTCTATGCATTTGAAGGAAATATTGGCCTTGTGATATCTGAAGAGTTGAGACTAGTTATTTTCTATTCTTAATGGGGAAATAAACAATGCGGAAGAGGAATCCTGAGGTAGGGGGAGGGGAGGAGAAAAGGATTGATTAAAAAGAAGTGGGGAGGTGAGGAAAGATGAAGGGCATAATTCAACCATAGAAGAAAAATATAAGTAAGATTCACGGAGACAAACTCAATAGGCATACTTCTTCCAGCAAGTATCTATGAATGGGGGATGGAGTTCCTGTTAACCCTTTCTTGTAGTAGTCTTTTAAAAGTGATGAGATTTTTTTAATATTTAAGATTTTTAAATGACACCAAACTCCTTCCAAATTAGAAAAAGACTCTAATTGCCAGAAAATAGGCTTTAAAAAAACTTGTTTTTTAAGTAAGAAGTTGTCTCATTGGCTTTCATCTGAAAAATCGCTTGAAATTGGCAGACTTTTTTCTTTTTTCTTTTTTTTAAGTAGCTACACCAGATAGGGTTCAGCCACCTCGAAAACCTCGCAGCGACTGCCGGATGCTCCAAAGTCAAGATCCTCTGCAGACAGGAAATGCCTTTGCCAGCTCCAAGGTCTCCTCCCCACAGCCCTCTCTATTGTCTGGAGAGATTTGTGTACATCCGACTGAGGTTTCCCGCCTGCAGCTACGAATCAAAGAGCTGCCTCACAAGAAAGGAGTCAGTGGGGGCTTTCTAGTCTTTCTGGCCAACACTTGGGGCCCACTCTGTCCCAGGTATTGATGCCTCCTCTCAGTTGAGCTACCCACCTAAGGAACTGAGGAACTGAGACTCAGAATTCACATTTCCCACGGCCTCCAACCAGCGAGGGAGGTGTAGAGGGCTTGTCCACCTTACTTACAGCCCTGCTCTTAACCACAAGGGTGTAATTCCCCATCTGAAGTGTGGCTGTAGACCTTGAATCTAAATATTTTGGTGAGTAGGAAGAATCTCCAAAGCGCTTCCCAAAAAATGTATCAAGGGACAAAATTAGATTAGATAAGTACAGAGTCCAGCTGGAATTTCGTGAAACTCAAAGAGATGAAAAGTAAGACAACATCTGATTATTCTCACTACAATATTGCAAACTTCTAACCATCCTGGGTGATTGCTTGGTTTTCCACATTCTTTCTCATGTTGTCATAGTCACATAACTATCACCTCTAATTATATTGATTAGATTGTAAAGAAAAATCAAAGGAGTGAGCTTTTGAATTTGTGTCATCTTCCACAAGGCAGTACAACTGGAATGGGAATTTGGTAAGTGCAGTCTGTCCCAGCAAAATGCCACTTCTCTGAAGTCCAAATAGATTTTCTTGAATCCATTCCCTGCCCCCATTAACTAAAATGAATATTCACAGCAATGAAACCACACACACATACACACACAAAAAAGCTTGTCAGAAATGTTGAAAGAGAATAGGTACTTTCACTATCAGAGATGGTTTCCTCTTTTCCCACAAGATGTCTTATCAGTGTTCACCCTGAGAAAACCATGAAAGCTAAGAAAAAGAAAACTTACGCAATAGTTCTCTAAACAAAATACTCTACAACAGGCTAGTCATCCCTAAAAGTGATGTTTAAAGAGTCAAAGTACATCATCCAACAAAATCAATACCCTATTAAGTTAGAAAGGGTTCTGAATATCAAAGACCAATGAACTGAATAACTTAAAATATAAGTACATGACCCAGGGGATTAATCACACACTGTCATGGTGAAATTAGGGCAATTCTTCCAATCATTAACGTTTTGCTTACAAAAATGTGCTTTTCTGTTTGTCTTTCTGCTAAATGATAACTGTTTTCAAGCTGAATCTCCTGATAAAAAGAGTTAAAAACAAGACAGGAGTTGTGCTGTAAAGGTCATACATGCTGCTTCAACATAAAATAGCCAAAGACAAACAAATGAAAAATGCCTGGATTGTAGGAAGAATTTGTAAATATTCATTGGCAATCTGCAACCGAGCACTTTAGACAACAGTTAATGCCAACCTGTGTCCTGAGAATACTGTACTTCCTCCTGTTAACGCCCTCTTGATTCTTAAGGACCTGTTTAGGTTCAGAATGAGCAACTTGAAGACAATTAGGAATAGCTTTAAATTGGAAAACAGCCTGCTTTCAAGGATTGTCTACTTTAAAACAAGATTTCATCCCTTAACTTTTCTAGTGTCCATCAACACATAAACCTGTATTTCTCTGCTCAGTAATCATGATAGTTATTCCTAAGAATAAATATTAACCAGAGGTTATCTCCATGAGCAAAACACACACACTGATTTCAGGATTGCTTTAATTCAATATTAGGCCCACAAGCCTCCCATTCTTCTAAACTCTGATACAGACAGTCATATTTTCAAACAAGACTGATTATGACCTTTGAAACTTTGATGTAACCTGTCAGGGAGGGTCAGGGAGCTTGGAGCCTGTAGCTGATGGGAAAAGAGACCCTCCCACTGGATGTCTACTTTGGGCTCCAACATTGAGGAGATGGAGAATAGGGAGAACAATAATGATAAAGAGCTTGAATGAGTTGGAAATTTGGAGACTGGAAGGGGTCATGTAGATCAACTAGACCCGCTTCATTCCACAGATGATAGAATAGAAACTGAGAACTAAAACTCCAACCCAAATCTGTAAGCTTCCAGGTCTATGCACACTTCTCTGCTTAAGGACACAGTATTAATTCTTTCAGGCATCTAAATTCACGAGTGATTCCAGGGGCCTTCTTGGACTCTAAGGAGGCAGGATGTGACAACCTCCTAAGAGCAATGACATTTTCACTGTCTTCACCTGAGTGCATAAAACTGGGGAGCTACAACCCTGGTCAGCCAGGCCAGGGTCAGAGTCATTCTTTCATGGGACCTCAGCCCAAAGGCACCCAGCTCCACAACTGGAGGCATCCATAGAGGAATAGGCTAGAGATGTCTGGGCTTCTTCCCTCGCAGGTCTGTCTCATCATTTTCCTGGAATGTCAGGAACCTGATGGATCAGCTAGGCAAGCAGCAAGATGCAAGACAGCAATACCTGGGCCAGTCAGAAACCTCAGCCCATCCTTCTTCTCAGCTCCATACTCTCTCACACCTCAGCACTTTCATTGATTCTTAAGAACATGTTTAGATTCAGAATACGAATCTCACAATACCTTCCTCAAATCTGCTCCCTCCCCTCAACCATCAAACTCTGGCTTCCACCACCCTGAACAGCCCCTGCTTCCCTCCTCTTCCCTTTCTGTTCCTTTGGCCTCCATCAGGAGTTACCTGAGGGGAGCAGGTGAGAGATGAACAAGGGAGAAACGCAGGCCCACCTGCTTCTTCCACACAAGCACCTTAGAACAGTGGTTCTCAAAGCAAAGTTCCACCAACTTTGACATCACCTGCGCACTCGTTAGAAATGCAAATTCCCTGTCCCACTCCAGCCCTACCACATTAGAAACTCTCAGGGCTCGGGCCGGCAACGAGTTCCAGCAAGCTCTGCAGGTGATTCTGAAGCTCACCCAAGCACGCTGTCTTAGCGCGAACTATCTCCGGCTCCGCCCGGCTAGCGTCCCCTATTCCCCTGAAGGGAGCCCCCTACACGGGCTCGGCCGCCAAGGGATGACGCAGTGTTGACTCACCGTGGTCAAGGACAGTGGTCCGGCCAGCCCTGCGAGCCGAGGCGAATCGATGAGGCTTGGGCTGCCCCGCGCTTCCGCGGCTCTTCCCGCCGCACCCGCCCGCCGCGCCTGCCTGCCGGGCCCTGGGCTCCGAACCTGCCGCGTTCGGGGTCCAGGGGCGAGAGCCTCGCCCGCTGCCCCAGACATACACATACCCAACCCCCGGCAAACACCCGGGAAAGGCCCAAAACTACCTCCCAGACGCCCACCCGCCGGCCACGGCCCAGTACGGCGCTCCCGGGGCGCTCAGGGCTGCGGGAGCCCCAGCGAGACGCACCACCTGAGGCTTCAGGCCCCAGCGCCGACCCGCAGGCGCCTACCCCGCGCCAGGCACCGGGACGCAGGCGCTGTAAGAAGTGTGGGTTTGTTTTAATCAAAACATGAGAGGTCCAGCGAGGTCAGTCGTCCAACCGACGGATTTATTTTATAGGAAAGTTACTCATTAGAAAAAAACACCATTTTGGCCATTTTTTTTTTACAGTGAACAATTATATATACACATTATAAACATCGATATAAAACACAATATCTACAATCTACTTACATTTACTTAATCTGCTACTTCTAATTCATCGTGATTATTTTTAATCACCAATGAGTCAGTTTCTGCTTGAATTGGCCAATGCTATCCTTAACACCCTAGTCAAACAGGTACTAAGTGATAGTGCAAAACAAGCATTTAAGATTATCAACTTTCTGACCAAAAGAACACACACATCCCAGAGACAACAGCTCTGAGCTGCTTTTAGATTCAAGGCAGCAATATAGGAACGTAATGTAAAAGTCTAGAATGTTTCCTTTTAAAATATTCCAAGGCTGTGTTCACTTCGGCAGAACATATACTAAAATATTCCAAGGCTGCCTGAAATGTAGACCTCCTTTTCAAGGAGCACCTCTGGATTTGGGGTGCCCTCTGCTTTTCCATTAAGTGATGAAGATAGATTACAGAAAAATTATTCAAGACAATCCTATTAAAATATTAAAGTTATAACTTAAAAATTTAACAAAAAAGTTCAAAATTACTTTTTATAAATAGAAAAAAATTACTTTTTTAAAAAGGGGATGAATTTAATCAGTGAAGAGTCCATTTAATGTACAATCTAAAATCAACACATTAACTATTTCTTAAAATCGAAATTAAGGTTCCAATGTGAACTTGTTATTTAGCCAGTGCACCAAATACATTAAGTTTCAAATACCAGACAACTGATTCCCTTTCTCATATAGTTTTCCAGTTCACCTATGGAGATTTTCCATTGCAAATATTATTCCCAAATCCAGTTTTCTGACCACACCAATGTCAGTGGTCATCATCCAGCATTAAAAAAGCCTTTATCACCCTCAATGTCCACTTCCTGATCAGAATCCTCTGAAATCTCTGATTCAAGATCTTCCTGAGAGGCAGGGGAAGGCGAACATTGAGAATTATCCAAAGCACCTTTATTCTGTTCACTGGACAAGTCTTGCCTCTGGTCACAGGGATCATCCAAACTTTCCAGTTCTTCCTTTTTATTGCTTTGAGGGTTCTCCTGAATGGAGAATGAAAATGGAGATTGGCAGATCATGAAATATGGAAGAAATGAAACACAAATCAAAGTATTTTTTCACTCTCCACCATCTTTTTAATTTTTAGTTTATCAATTGCTTATCAAAACCTATAACCGTTTTATCCAGAAAATACATACTTCTTTCTTACTTTGGAAGAAGTTCCTATTATATCAGAGATAGGTTATATACTCTTACCAAGTTAGAATACTCAATATAAACGTGTTATGTCAAATGAACACTTAATTCCAGCCCAAACCCACGACCTCAAGATTCTTAAAAGTTTAGGAGGAAAAAAATCAGGTCACTGCAGATGCACACTATCTTCATTCTTTGAATATTTAAACCTTGCTGATTAACAGGGCCTTCCACACCTTTAAAGAGTATGAATGTTAAATAGTAAGGATAAAGTTCCAAAATTATTAGATTGAATGAATCACTTTTCATCCATTTTCTGGAGTAAGTTTACAAACATATAAATACATGTAGCAGGTTACAAAATCATGGCAAAGAAATGCAGAACTGGAAAAATGTTGCCAACTTAAAAGGAAAACAACTACAACTTACTTAAAATTGGGGGGAAATTTCTGAAGAATATTCCCATTATTACACAGGAACCACTAGTTTAAAGTCTCTAGTAAACTGCAGTCATGCTTTTGACCAAGAACTAAATGAGTTAGTGAATTTTTAATCCTATGTTTGTCTAAAATGGACATAAATACTACTAGAAATACAATATACAGCTAAGGTTTCGGTTTTTTTTAAGCAAGGCTATGGAACAGTAGATTAACCAGGCTTGCAACTATATGACAAATATATGTACAAGGTCAGAAATTGAGAAGAAATCTGAAAAATTTTTCAATTGTGTTGGAATAACGGTATCATGGAAATTTTATTTCCTGCTTCAGTGTTCTTTGTGACACGATCTTTTTTACTAAATTTTAAAATGCACAATTCTTTCAATTTCCCCACTTGTACTGTTTCAAAAATATTTTATTTACTATAAACTGTATATACACTGGCAAATGAACAATTCAATTGTCAGATAAATTTGGAGAAGATATCCAGATTAGGACATCAAAAACAAATCTTTAGCTTTAAGTCAATAGAGCGTCTTTTAAAACTGAATTAGCCTTTACTTTTTATCACACATTGCATAACAAGGTCATTGGAAGAAAGTTTAAGCTACTTTCCAAACAAGCTTGGATATTCTCTTACATGTTTTTATATTCATTGTAAGAGCTTGCATTAGGTGGAAAATAATTTTTTAACTCTTTGATATTTAATTCGTTTAAAAAAAAAAACAGTGCAAACAAGACTTAAAGGTGTTTATTTCCTTATATTTACCCTTGAGCTCTGCCTGGTTTTATTATGGCTGTGTAAATAAAAGAAACAATTTTCTCCCAAAGATAACTGCTCAAGTCATTTACTGTCAATTACTTTATCTTTCCTGCGTTAATTAGATAAACAACATATGGGGTTTATAAAACAATTAGCCAGGAGTTTTACTAGCCAGTGTGTGAAAACCCAAGCATAATTGATATAGGAACTGCATTAGGTGCTTTTAGCATTACTGCCACCTGAGCAACTCATCCTGAATTTCAGCAGAACTATTTGCCTTTTTAATCAAGGTGAAGAGGTTAAATAGTCTCTCAAATGACTTTTGCATACAACCTATAACAGGCCTTGCATTGAGATAACATGATAAAAATATTTATTTCTATAGAAACAAAACCATGTCAATACCTGTTTTAGTCTTCGCCATTTAGCGCGACGATTCTGAAACCAAGTTTTGACCTACAGGAAAGAGAAAAAGAAAACTTGCCACCAGCCACAATCCCCAGGGACCTAGGAGGAGGGGCGAAGCAGATCCCTGCTGTCTAGCAGACCAGCGCTCCAGGAGGTGGTAGCACCCTGCGACAAGCCAAAGCGAACAGTGGCTCCATGTCTTTCTTCTGACGCAAGACCGGGTTCCCAGGAGCAAGCCCCAGCCTCTGGTCCTCTCACCTGTCTCTCGCTAAGCTGTAGCATCTTGGCCAGACGCTTCCTCTCTGGTGGGGAGAGGTATTTCTGGGTCTCAAACTTCTTCTCCAGCTCGATAGTCTGGTCGTTCGAAAACCTCACCTGGCCGCCTTTCCTTTTATGCAGAGGCCTCTGTAAGAACGGACTCCAGAGCAGGGGTTTGCCTGTAGGCAGCAAGAGCAGTTATTAGTGATAGCCTTGAAGCAGCCTGGCAGACCCTAGACCTACCTGGCCATGGGGGTGACAAAGGGCATAGGGGACACTGGACACTCAACCAGACATGTTCATATACACTCACCAACACATGGACCCAACATACTGCCACCAATACACATACATACCCAAACACACAGAAACACCCAGTCACACACCTACATTACATATACACATAGATCACACTTGGACAATCACAGGCACACAGACACACACACAACCATCACACCCATAGCTAGATACCAACACACAAATCTTTTGATCCCCAAAAGAACACTCATTATAGGCTGGGCTTAATATACCATGACTCTCCTTAACCAGTCACTCTCGAATTTATCCACAACTTTTTGCACCTCCAGGTGAACCGCATTTTGCAAATACCCTGAGTGTGTGTATGTTGGAGAGGAACAGGGCTGTTACACTACCCAAGGCGTTTGCGGCCTCTGGCCGGCAGCGGTAGCCGGATCTGGGGACCACGCGCAAAGCCCTTGAGCGGGGGAGCCGGCGTTAGGCTCTGCGTGGAGCTTCCAATCCTAGCTCGATGGGCGCCGCGGCCTCTTCTGATTTCACATCCAGTCCGCGGGGGCGGCCAGTTAAAGTCACCCCGTGGGCTATGGCAACATTTCCGTCAATGTGTTTCCTGTTGGTCTATCTCGAAAAACCCTTTGCTTCCTCCTGCGCGGTCCCAGCAGTAACCCAAGGAAACCCAGAGCGCACTCGCTGTAAACGTTTGCCCCCAGGCCGGGCCCAGCTGAGGGTCCCCCTCGAGCCCCAGCAGCCCAAGAGAGCCACGCCGGGTCCACAGCACCAAACCCATGAGGCTGGAATCAAAAATACAATAAATAACATTTTTTTAAAAAGAACTAAAATATAAACTTCCTCCCCCCCGGCCTCCGATCTCTCTAACAATGAAAAAGAAAGGTGGAGGACTGAGCTAGTGGCCCGACCATCATGATGACATTAAAATGTTAATTAAAATGGTATTGTCTCCAGGGTCTTTACAGAAGTTGCCAATAACAAAGAGTAGATTTTAAACCCGGTGGCCCAAGGCAAGGAGCCCCGTTTCCTTATTTACCCCGGGGCTTCAGATGCCGGAGGCGCCAAGGGCCACCCGGAGCGCGGATTAAGGGTGCCTTATGTTTTAGGCCGCGCACTGGGGGAGCAAGCGCAGCAAATTCTATATGCCCAACGTGTACGCGCTGCCTTTCCTACTCCAAAGACGTGTCCGACAGTCCGTCTGTGGGTCTGCGCCTAAACGCTTTGAAAGCTGGCATTGTTTTTTTTCCCGAGATTTTGCTTACGTCAGGTTTCAGACTGGTGCAAAACAGCCTCAAAAAAAAAAAAAA